AGCAAATAAGAGCACGTATGAGATAAGGTTTTATTTTTGAAAATAATTAAAACAAAACAAAATATCTTATCCCAATAAGTGAGAAGAATTTACCTTGGTTTATGCCGCTCTTTTTTCGGCTTTGAATATACTTCTTTCCTCTTCACATACTTCTTCCATTTGAGGAAATCCGTATATTTCATTCTCATCGCCTTCTCTTTATCTTCCTCATCATTTGACTCTTCCGAGGAGCTTGAGTCATTTGAATCACTTGACTCGCTTGATTCTTCACTTGACGAGTCTTTGGAAGCTTTGAAGGCGTTGGTAAGCTTGGGATTTTCACGCATTTCTTCCTCTTTGATCTTTCTCAACAAAAGTTCGTGAGAATACAAGGAAGACCAAATGTGGGCGGTTTTGGCCTTATCACATTTGGGTAATAAATCCACTATACTACTATGCCATTCTTTAGGTAAAGAAAATAAAATTTTCGTATTAAGCTCGGAATTAGTATACATTTTACCCAACTTACTCAATTTGTTGACAACCTCGTTGAATCTTTTGTTTATATCTTGGATTGTCTCACATGGCCCTTTCTTGAAGGATTCGTACTCCGAGTTTCTTAGGGCAATCATGGTTTGCTTCGTGGAGGTGTCTCCTTCATACGTGGCTTGAAGCAAGTCCCATACCTCTTTGGCCGTTTTGCATGAACATACTCGTGCAAACTCATCAGGGCCGAGAGAGCAATGGAGAATATTGATTGCCTTTGCATTCATTGATAACTTTCTTTTATCCTCCAGAGATAATCCTGCAAGATTACCAATACTCGGCACAAATGGCCCGTGAATTACATTCAACCATAAATCAAAATCAATTGATTGAATGAAATATTCCATCCACATTTTCCAATAGGAATAGTTTTGACCATTGAAAAACGGAGGGCGGTGAATGCTTTGGGAATCCATTTGAGCCATTTTTCAATAAATTTGAATTTTTTAAAAATTAGGGAAAATAAAATTTTGAGATCTTAAAATTCAAATTTAAAAACGGACACAACAAGTGGATCTTTGTCGTAGATGCGGTTAAGCACTTTCAACTACGAAACTGCTCCGATACCAATTGTTAGTCGGTTTAGTCGTTGTGCCCACGCCTTAGAGGGGGGGTGAATAAGGCGTTTAAAAACTTTTCGGAGTTAAGTAAAAATGGTGTTGGCAAATGCGGAAGCAATATATAAAACGCAGAAATAAAAGCGTAAATAAAATGCACACCAATTTTATACTGGTTCGGGAACTCCCTACTCCAGTACCTCAAGGCTCCTCCTCAAGGATTTCCGAATCCACTAAGTCTCGGTCTCTT